TAAACCCGTATTACAGGATTTTAAAGGGACTTCTGCAGATGGAAATGTTTCCAAGGTTAAATAGTTTTCACCAGTGAAAATAAACACACAGTAAAGGTAGTAGACCAATTACTTATCGAGCAAGTATAAAATTAAAACAAAAGTAGTAAAACCAGCTATACACAAAATCAGTCAAGGGATACACAAAAAATGTAGATTATGACATCTAAAACATAAAGCATGGAGGAGGAAGAATAAAAAAGAAGTATTTTTAGATTGTGTTTGAAATTGAGTGACCTTCAACTTAATATAGACTGTTATATATTTAGGAAACTATTCATAAACTTTATGGTAACCACAAAACTAAAACCTGTAATATATTCACAAAAATTTAAGAAAAGAAATTGAATCACAATACTAAAGAAAACCATCAAATAACAAGAGTACAAAAGAAGAAGAAAGTAACCGAGAGGAACTACAAAAACAACCAGAAAACGATTAATAAAATGGCAATGAGTACACACTTATCAATAACTACTTTAAATGTAAATGGGTTGAATAACCATCAAAAGACACCGAGTGGTAGAATGGATAAAGAAACAAGACTCCTCAATATGCTGCCTACAGCAGACTCATTTCAGACTCAAAAGACATACATAGACTGAAAGTGAAGGGATAGAAAAAGATATTTCATGCAAATAACAGGGAGAAAAAAGAAGGAATAGCAGTACTTACATCAGACAAAATAGACTTCAAAACAAAGAAAGGAACAAGAGACAAAGAAGGACATTACATAATTATAAAGGAATCAGTCCAATCAGGGGCTATATCAAATATAATTATCTATGCACCCAACATAGGAGCACCTAAATATGTGAGAACTAAATAAGAGAACTAAAGAGAGAATTAGAGTGAAACTGAATCATATTAAGGGACCTTAACACACCACTTCCATCAATGGACAGATCATCCAGCCAGAAACTAAATAAGGAAACAAGGCACGGAACAACACAGTGGATCAGATGGACTTAACAGATATCTACAGAACACTCCACCCAAAAGCAGCAGGATATACATTTTTCTCAAGTACACTAGGAATATTCTCCAGAACAGATCATATATATCACATACTAGAACACAAAAAGACCTCAATAATTCAAAAAGATTGAAATTGTATCAAGCAACTTCTCAAGATCACAATGGTACAAAACTAGAAATAAATTACATGAAGAAAACAAAAAAAACCCACAAATACATGGAAGCTGAACAACATGCTCCTAGATAATCAATAGATCAATGACTGAATCAAAGTAGAAATTAAGCAATACATGGAGACAAATGAAAACAAAAATACAACAGCTCAAAATTTGTGAGATATTGCAAAAGCTGTTCTAAGAGGGAAGTACACAGCATATAGGACTACCTCAAGAAGCAAGAAAAATCCCAAATTAACAGTCTAAACTCACAACTAAAGAAACTAGAAAAAGAAGGAAAAATGAAACACAAAGTTACTAGGAGGAACATAATAAAGATCAGAGCAGAAATAAATAAAATAGAGAAGAACAAATCACTAGGGGAAAAAAATCAGTGACACCAAGAGCTGGTTCTTTCAGAAAATTAATAAAATAGACAAACTTCTGGCCAGACTTATCAAGAGAAAAAGAGGAAACAAAGAAATAAAAAATGGAACTGTCACAACTGACAGCACAGAAATTCAAAGAATTATTAGAGAATTCTATAAAAAATTAGATGCCAATAAATTGGACAACCTAGAAGAAATGGACAAATTCCTAGAAAAGTACAACCTTCCAAGACTGACCCAGGATGAAGCAGATAATCTAAACACACCAATTACCAGTAATAAAATTGAATTGGTAACCAAAAACTTCCCAACAAATGGAAGTCCAGGTCCAGATAGCTTCACAGATGAATTCTAGCAAACATTTAAAGAGGAGCTAATACCCATCCTTCTTAAAGTATTTCAAAGAGTAGAAGAGAAGGGAACACTTCCAAACTCATTCTATGAGGCAGCATCACTCTAATACCAAAACCAGGGACACTACAGAAAAGAAAATTATAGACCAATATCCCTGATAAACATAGATGCAAGAATCTTCAACAAAAACTTGGCAAACCAAATTCAAAAATACACCAAAAGGATCATCCATCACAACCAAGTGGGATTCATTCCAGGGATGCAACGATGGTACAATATTCATAAATCAATCAATGTGATAGACCATATTAACAACAACAAAAAAGGATAAAACCATATGATTATCTCAATAGATACTGAAGAAGTATTTGACAAAATTTAAGAATCATTTATGATAAAAAATATCAACAAAATGGGTATAGACACAGTGGACCACAACATAATAAAGGCTATATGAAAAACCCACAGTTAACATGATGTTCAATGGCAAAAGCTAAAAGCTTTTACTCTAAGGTCAGGAACAAGACAAGGATGTCCACTCCCATCACTTTTATTCATCATAGTACCAGAAATCCTAGCCAAGGCAATCAGACAAGATAGAGATAAAAGGCATCCAACTTGGTAAAGGAAGAAGTAGAACTGCCAGTATTTGCAGATGACATATGATACTGTGCATAGAAAACCCTAAAGACTCCACCAAAAAACTATTAGAATAACTAGATTCAGCAAAGTTGAAGGATAAAAATTAATACACAGAAATATGCTGCATTCCTTTATACTAAGAACAAACTAGCAGAAAGAGAAATCAGGAAAACAATTCCATTTACAATTGCATAAAAAAAAACCACCTAGGAATAAACCTAACCAAGAGGTGAAAGACCTGTACTCTGAAAACTAAAAGACACTCATGAGGGAAATTAAAGAAGACACCAGTAAATGGAAATTTATCCCATGCTTATGGATAGGAAGAATACTGCCAAAATGGCCATCCTGCCCAAAGCAGTTTACAGATTCAATACAAGCCCTATCAAAATACCAATGTTTCTGTATTTTTCAATGAACTAGAGCAAATAATCCTAAAATTCATACAGAACCACAGAAGGTGCCCAAAAAGGCAAAGCAGTCCTGAGAAAGAAAAACAAAGCTGGGGGTATTATGCTCCCTGGTTTCAAGTTATACTACAAAGTGATCAAAACAGAATGGTACTAGCAGAAGACCAGAATCATAGATCAATGGAACAGAATAGAGAGCCCAGATATAAATCCACATATATATGGTCAATTAATAAATGATGGGTCATGAATATACAATGGGGAAAAGACACTCTCTTCAACAGCTGGTGTTAGAGAAACTGAGCATCTACATGCAAGAGAATGAAGCTGGATTACTGTCTAACTCCACACACAAAAGTAAACTTTTTTTTACTAAATTTAAGACATGAAACCATAAAACTCTTAGAAGAAAACATAGGCAAAAATTTCTTGAACATAAAGCATGAGCAATTATTTTCTGGGCATATATTTTCGGGCAAGGGAAACAAAAATGAACAGGTGGGACTACATCACACTAAAAAGCTTCTGTTCCTCAAAGGACATCAGCAGCAGGACAAAAAGGCACTCTTTTTTGGGAGATTATATGCATAAACAACTTACCTGATAAGGAGTAACATCCAAAATATATAAAGAACATACATGCTTTAACACCCAAAAAACAAATAACCTGATTAAAAAATGGGCAGAGGATCTGAACAGACATTTTTCCAAAGAAGACATACAAGTGGCCAACAGGCACATGAAAAAATGCTCCAAATCACTAATTATCAGGGAAATGCAAATCAAAACCACAATGAAGTATCACCTCACAGCAGTGAGAATGGCCACTATTTAAAAGACAAGAAATAAAAAGTGCTGGTGAGGATGTAGAGAAAAGGGAATCCTCCTGCACTGTTGGTGGGATAAACTGTTGAAGCCACTGTGGGAAGCAGGATGGAGTTTTCTCAAAAAACTAGAAGTAGAAATACTGTAAGACCTAGTAACTCCACTTGTAGGAATTTACCCAAGATTTATGTACCCCTATGTTTATTGCCACATTATGTACAATAGCCAAGATACAGAAGCAATCAAAATGTCAGATGAATGGATAAACAAGATATGGTACTGATATACAATGGAATATTATTCAGCCATAAAAGAAGAAATCCTGCCATTTGTGACAACATGGATGGACCTAGAGGGTATTATGCTAAGTGAACCTAGAGGGTATTATGCCAAGTGAAATAAGCCAGGCAGGGGAAGACAAATACCACATGATTTCACTAATTTGTGGAATCTAAAAACAAAACAAAGTGGAATGAACAAAATAGCAACAGACTCACAGACACTGAGAAGTGACTGATGGTTACCATGGGGGAGCGGTTAGGGTGAGTGGGTGGGGAGGGGGATAAAGGGGCACCAAATTCTCAATCATTATATAAGTTGGTCGCAGGGATGGCAGTACAGCATGGAGAATATAGCCAATGATTATGTAACATCAATGTTGACAGATAGTAACTGCACTAGATGGGGTGACAGTTTAATAATATGGGTAACTGCTAAACCACTGTGTTGTATAATTGAAACCAATGTAAGATTGTGTATCAACTATACTTCAATAAAAAAGGAAACATAATTAATGCTTATATATATCATGGAAAATCAAAAAATTTTTTTAAATCCTCTAAGGTTCCAAAGTCACTACTAAAATTATTTACCTTAAATAGTTACATATGCATATATGTCTAGCTATGCAATAGAATTGTACACATAATTAATTATACATATATAAACATCTTTACTAGAGATGGATATAAGTTTTTAGGGCTGTGTTACTTGGAAAGAAATAAAAACTTGTCCTTAGCCTAGTAAGATTAGAAACATTAACAAAATGAAGACAGAAAGCAAGATAAATGCAAATTCTGTAAGCTAAACAGAATTTAACAGACATGTTAATTGTTTAAATGAATAGTCACATCAAAACATGCCAATATCCTAAAACTGAATGTCAAGATGTAAATATTTATTTTCAAATAGAAAAATTTACTACATACCTGCTTGGTATCATTGTGATAAAGGACAACTGACAGAGAGTCAAAGTGGAAGTCAAATTGGAGAGTGACATTCTGATCCACAGAAAGCTCTGAGTCAGTTAAATCTTCTTGTTCTGATGGTCCAAACAGAAATATAAAAAATAAAAAGTTTCTAAATAGGTACATGATCTTACACATATTTAAATACTTAGGATAATAATTTATTTTAAATTTATATCATACTTTCTCTTTAAGTCTTTTTATGAGACAATTAAAATAGCAATGATTTATTCCATATATATTTAAAACAGGGCAAAGTAACAGAGGCAGACCATTTTATTTAAAAAAAAACAAACAAACAGAAGGGATCCTGGAAAAAGAGTATCAAGACAACTTTTTAAAAATGCCCCTCCAATGCAAGACTAATTACAGAGTAGTTTATGATTATTAAAGTATTTCACCTAAATAGTGGCAAGCTATTCTCAAGAGATTATGAAATTGGAGACACAGAAAAGTAAAATATTTATCCTAGAACAGAGAGCACATCAGTAACAAATCCTTTGCTAACAGTGCAATTCTCACTGTCTTTGTTTACCTATATGATCCAACTCATACTTTTATACGAAGAACAGAATATAATTCAATAGCAGAGTCAAACAGAGCTCAAATATAAGCTCAAATACAATGTGGGACAGGAAGCCTTTGGAATTCTGAGGTAAAAGAGACTTCAACAAATTATTTAGTCTTTTTCCTCATCTTCCGGCAGAAACTTTTTATAAGAATAGGTAATGTTTTCAATCATGTTTACAAAGTGATTTTATATCTTCTGGAAATTGATTCTATTCTTTGATTATGTATAGAAAAGTCTTCTTACAAGTTACTAGAAGAGCAAACATTGCATAACCTTAACTATATAAAGTTGGAAAATGCTGGGATTTTTTTTTCTTCACTTTTCCTGAAAATAATTTACATTCCAATCTTCATCATCTTTGCAACTCATCTGAACTCACAAGTCTTACCAAGTACCACATTAACTATATAGCCAGAACCAAATAAGCAGATTGGCCACAGCTGACCATGAGATAATTAACTGCACAAAGCTTGCCTGCTACAGTTCATTGATCTATACATAGCTCCTATCTAACCATAGCAACAGCCTGCAATAAGCATTTGTCCAAACAGTGGCATGAACCCAACCTGGGAAGAAGATGCTGGCCTCACTAAGCTCATGTAGCACTCACAACAATCTACTTGAGCCAAAAACCTTATTTTGCACACTTTTCTAGTTGTTTGTTTCCTGATTTCAAAACACACTGGGCCTAACTATAGGTGAAGCAGTCTTGGTATGGTATTATTAACTGGCAGTTTTACCTATTGCTGGCAAAGTAATAGCTGATTGATCTAAGCATTATAAAAGCATACCTGTCTGAGGCCATTTATTATTGTAAGGGCAAAGAGTACTTCATCACTTTTTAAGCATGGATTAAATAGTTTAAATATTAACCTATTTAATAAAACATGATATTCACATTAATAACTGATGAAAAAGGGTGAAATTATATTCTATATAACTGTTTTAAGAAAGCAAGAAGGAGCCTTACATGTTAGAAAAACTATCTTTTAAAAATGGCTGAATTTAAAAGGTTCAGTGCTTTTAGAAGATTCTATTTTAGAAATGTGAAAACTCCCTTAAGTATCTGACTATATCATGCTCCAATAAAGCCAGATAAAGCTCTTATTATACAAGAATCCTTTCTCATGGGCCAATCACCTGAGTATGATACTTTTCTCTGTTAATCATTTTGTGAACTTATTATGCTGCATGCCTAGTTTGCTTCTTGTCTTAATATGTAACACTTCAGTACCTTTTGACTTCAGCAAATTCAGTTTTCACAAATAAAGGGCAAATATGCATCATGCAGGCAACAATAGGTGGCCCCTCCCCTGTAGTGGACAGTGAGCATATCTCCTTCCCCAGGGTGCTTCAAGGCAGCCCCAGACCCAGCCAATTTTCCACAGTAAATAATACAATATTGAATCAGGTCATACCACATGCTGGACAATTAAAAAACACTAAATATAAATATAAAATTAATTTTTCTCATAATCAAAGCAAAAATCGTCATCAATATATTTACCTTTAAGGTGGTCAGGCCTACTCAGAACATCTTTTCTTACTCTTACAGCCTCCTGAGTAGATTGTGTTGGGTTTGGCTGTGAAGAAGCTTCTCCAAGATTTTCCAACAGAATTTTCATTAAAACTGTTAAGTCGTCTTCACTGAGAGCAACCTAGAAACCAACAAGTTGTTGTCAATATAAAATAATTAAAAAATACAGAATATCATATCTATGTCTTAATTTATGATTCCTCAAATTAACTAATTGTTCATCTAACTAAAAAAAAGAGTGGGCACCATAAATATCACGAAAGAAGAATTTCATCATCTATAGTATGAGACATTTCTCCTACGCCCATACCCAACCCGTCTCTGGCACTCCGTCACTCTTCCCGATTTATCTGTCTATCTCATCCTGTGGGTATGCCTCTCTCCCCCATCCTTGTCTCATCTCCATTCTGCCTTTTATGCCTCTCTCCCCCATCCTTGTCTCATCTCCATTCTGTCTCTTTCTCTTTTCCCACAGTACCAGCTCCTTCCTCCACAGTCTTTACTCTCCTAAAACTCAATACAGGAAGACTGTTGTTTAATTTCTGGTCTCTACTAAGAAGTAAAAAGATGCTCTCCTGCAATGTAACTCTTATTCACAGTGTATATGCATATGGATATACATATAACATTTGTTTACTTACCAAGAATAATGCCTCTTAGAACAGTAACAAATGCATCGACAAAGAATTTTTAGAAACCAAAACACAGATCATCTTGTTTATTTCCTACCTTTATTAAAGGACGTATGCGGCAAAAAGCAAGAGTTTTTATCAAGCAGACCTATATCATCTCTACCACTTCCAAGCTGCAATGTTGGCCAAGTTTTTTAGCTTCCTTAAGTCAAGTTTTTTAACTTTGAAACAGGAATAATATCTCTTCATAGGTGGCTACAGAACAACATGAAGCAGCTAGAACAAATGAAGCTTTTACTGGCTGCTAGGATCAAAATTAGATTAAATTAAACCCTTTATTCTTTTTATCTCTTGTACATTTTCACACATATAGTGGTCCAAAAGGCCTGTTTCAAATACTTAAAAACACAAATTCACACAAGCATGCACACATTCACAACAGCCTCTTGTCTGAACACCACTGAACTCTCTATCCCCCACATTAGGCCCCTAATGCCAGAAAAGTGCCTGATTTCCAGCCTTAATGAAAAGTGGAAGATACTAGCACAAGATAATGAGCAGGGATTTCTTGATTGTCTCAAGCCCCAGTTCTCAGAGAACAGATGTCACTTTAACTTCCCAGAATCTACCTGTGTATTCATTCATTCCCACATTCCCACTTGTGATAGCAACCAAGATTCCACAGCTGCCTGAAGAGCAGCTAACTTCAGCACTTCTGTGGTTTGCTGTAGGTGAAAAAACAACTTTACCATATATTTAAACTGGTCCTTCAGTAAGTCTAAAGGACAATCTGAGAGGTGGCCCACAGTTCTTTAAGAACTGTTAATTTGATCTACCTGATACCCTTTCTCAGCTGCACTCCAGACTGCTGCTGACAAATTAGACAACAGAGACGTAACCCACTATAGATGCATTCTTGACTTAACAGGAGTCCTTTTATTTGAGATGATGATCATGCCTTGATGTTAAACTGTTGGGTCTGTTACATTTTTTCCTGCTTCTTTTGAAATACTTTAAGCATAAAGGAAAAAGCATGGCAAATACTCTAAACCTCTCCAGTCTACCTACCATCGAGTTTTGTCAAATCTTACTACATTGCTATATATCCTTCAGATCTTTTTCCGCATTATAGATATGGCTGAAGCCTCATGTTTACTTCTTTCCTTTCCTTCCCAGAGAAAGAATAGACCATTCTTCCCATGGATGCTTTCTTACATTTACCACTACTGCATTCCCCTATAAACAATATATAACATTGCCCACTGTCCCACTTAATTTTGAACTAATATAGAACCGTATTATCATTTTGCAACTAATTTTCCCATTTTATGCTTAATATATATGTATTTTTATTGCATAGTTCTATTCACTCACTTTATCTGCTTTATAATGTCCACAATTTGATCCATAGTCACCTACTGGTACTCATTTAGGTTTTGCTTTTGCTTTCGACAAACCTATAACCACACAATCTTCCATAGTCACCTACTGGTACTCATTTAGGTTTTCTTTTGCTTTCAACAAACCTATAACCACACAATCTTTGAAAGGAAAAAAAAATGTCAAATATTTGTCCTGGAATCTAATCTCTTAACAGTAAGGGGGAAATTAAAAGAGTCTCATACTTTGGAAGAGAGAAGTCTCTATAAAATACCCTAAATAGACAGGTTTGCTCATATATGTACTCACACCACACACAGAAACCTTTTATTCCTAAAACAAACTTCAATTTTAACTTCTTCCTTAGTAAAACTATACTCCTTTGACCTTCCTATTTTATCTTAGAACTGATTATGAAATTATCACAAATACCAAAAACCCATGAACTACTCAATTTTTATTTGTTTTTCACACACTCTATTTGTTTAGTTACTCCCTCCCCTACATATGCCCTACTATTTGGCTTCAACAGTTTCACGAACAGGCCCACAAGAACCACAGGATTCCTATACTTCCTATCTTCAACCAGTATCATCTCTTCCTGTGAGCCTACAAATGGCCTGGTAACTACATTATTATAACTACTGCTGTATTTACATCCTCACCAAATAAACATATTCACCTATTTAAAATGTCCCTTTTTCTAACTAAAATGGTGCTTCTATACCCTAAAAATACTATTAGTGCTTTGAATATGGTATCTAAATATCAGTCTTACAATTTAACTGCCTTAAAACTTAAATTTTTCAAAATTACTAATAATCTTTTCAGTAGATTTATCTCAGACTTGCTGACTTTACCAAATGTCTGACTAAAATGAAATAAAGAAAAGTATGGGAAAGTAGAATGACCTCATTTAACAGGGTATTCCCTTTTAAAATATAAATCACTTGTGATGCACACGAGAATGGTACTCTAATCCATAACAAGAGCCTACCTAGCAATTTTCACACATCTTATACATATACTTACCTGCATAGGTTTTAGTTTTCCTTTTATCTCCATCCCTGGAATTTGCTTGTACCATGTTGCTGCTAAATTTCGCTGTATGGACAAAAGCATGTTGACTGGTTTTAAAATTTCAATGTCATGTTGTGGCAAGCCAGTCTGCAAAACAGTTCTGAAAGACAAACAAGAATTTATTTTATATTTTTGAAATTCACATTTTAAAATGAAGACTGTCATACTGTGTAACAGTTTCCACCCAGCATTTTCCTAAACACGAAAGGCTGCTATCAGAATTCTTTTAGAACGTGCTTTGTTTCACACATCAATCCAAATCAAAATGAATTACATACAGCTATTTAAAACAAAGCTTATGTAATGCTAATTTCAAATACACAAATTTCATAAAGTCTGACTTTTACACTATTTATCTTTCATAAAGACTAATATTAGCAACTAGTGAAATGGCATACAAAGGTTTGTCCTCCTCAAGTTGAAGGACAAAGAAAGTAATACTCTTATTTAGTCTTTAGTTTTTTGTTATTGATAGTGTTCCAGAATCAAAGGGAAAAACTCACCAATCCTAGAATTTAAATATATAATAATTGTCATTTTGAACTTGTCTACCAACAGCCATTTGCATAACCAAGTAAGTATGCTTATCATTCAACAGAACCAACACTTTCTATTTGGAACGAATAATCCTTTAGCTACCTCACTGAAAATTCTGAAATGTGACAAAGTTGGGAAATGAGAGGTAAATCTTAAGTTTTATTAAATTTTCAGATTTTTCCCATCTACAGAAAATGGCTATATGCAAAGTAAAAAAGATAAATAAATCTAAATTAAGTATTATTGAATAAGCTATAATTTAATAATAGGAAATTTTAATAGAATGGACAAAAATCACATTACAAACCAAGACAAATGAAGATTCTATGGGGTGCACTACTATTAACCACTGACCAAAAATCAATGGTCAAGGTTTCATAATTATAAGAAATAAGGAATGAGACCCACAGATAAGAATATTTTACCCCTGGCAAAGATACTATGAAAATTCTGTTTCTAGTAAGTAATAGACGCAGTTGGATTATATATTTATACCTGGACAGCTTCAACTGAGTAAGTTGGATGTTCATTTTGTCAACAACTGGAGGAAGAGAATAATGTTCCATAGGAACTAAGCTAAATTTGTTTTCAACTCTGATTAAACCCAGATCAGCTATAACAGCATTAGGTGATACTGAAGACTGAGGAATGATAATAACTGGTGCTTTCAGGTTGATATCCATCAAAAGGCGGAAACTCTTCTGAGCCAAGTCCTTCATGCTGGAAGCAGCTCTTTCTGCAGCCTGGACTGTGGCTGTGCTCAAAGCTTCTTTGGCAGTTTGGAAATTGTTGAGGAAGTTCTGTTGGAAGAGATTGATATTTAGAGTTCCCCCCAAACAACATTTATTTTACAAAGGAAAAACTTTAAAAAGCACTTAAAAAAAAAACTAAAATAGAAGATGTAATATAAAACAGATGTTATTTATGGTAGTGTATATGGAGAATGTAAAGTCTAGAAAGATACAACCTGAGATATTAACAATAGTTACATCTAGGAAGAAAGAGTCCTTTAACTTCCATTATGTATTCCCAAATTATTTGGTTTTTATGACAAATGTTGGTAATAATTCTTTTTTAATCTCCCTTTTACTCATGAATGGTTGGTCATTCTAAATTCCAATTTAAATAAAAGAGGAGGAGGACAGCACTTTACTTCTCCCAATTAGGTTCAATTTTGTACCTCTAGGTCACAGGAAAAAGTTTATTCTTAGAAACTAAGAACTACCAGCTTATTTGCAAAGATTTTTTTTAAAGTGTACTTAAGCATAAGCAAAGATGCTTAAGTATTTACAATGTGGCAATCATTAAGTGCCAAAACCTCTTTTTTTTAGAACAAAATGCATTTCATCTCAATTTCAACTAAAAAAAGAATTTTTCCAATGAAGAAAATATCACTTGGAAGCAATATTCTTTTTTTTTATTAAGGTACCATTGATACACAATTTTATGAAGGTTTCACATGAGCAACATTGTGGTTACTATATACACCCATATTATTCAGTCCCCACCATACATCGCATTGCAGTCACTGTCCATCAGCATAGTAAGATTAGAAGCAATATTCTTCATGCTTACCCATTAATGATTCTAAGCGACTTAAATTCCCCCCTGCAAAAAAAAATTACTTTCTAAAAACTAAAGCATGATGATTTAGGTGGAAATCCATGACTTACAAATTTTGACTAACAGTTCTGGTAAAAGGCATTGGAAGATTTAAATTCTTCAGCTCATGACACTTACTCGGTAATAAGTAACTAAAGGAAATGAATTTTATGGTCTTGTTGATAACAGTTATAATGAAAAGCTGTAAGTTTCAATATTAGTCCTTCAAATGCCTGATGGGTTCCTTTAAAAATTATTCTAGCTAAATAATACTTAAGGGTATTTCATACAACAAATTACAGTGAAAAGCCCTAAATTAAAACATCAACAAGTATTTTTAAAATGCGTAACTATGGAAATGTTAAAGAATGTAAACAATGATAACAACAATGCATTTGGTTATTTCCTTAAATGAAATATTCTGTTCAGGATTTGGGCATTGATCACACAGTCCTGTTAGTAAAGATTTTGACTATCTAGGTTCCGATGTATAGTCAAAGACATTTAGGCTTCAATGAGAAATAAATATATTTAAAGACAAACTTACCAAAACAGACATGAAGAACTTATGAACATAAACAATTTGAATACAACCCACTTTGAGACTAATTTTGCCATCTACTTTAGACATATCAGCATAGGCCTTTCCCTCTGTGGCATCTGGATACAGAGTCATTTGGAATCTAAAGACTTCATCTCCCAAAATAGAGACAGCCTAAAAATATTAAATTAACTGGTCATTACATCCAAAGAGCTGTATCACTGTATTACAAGTAAGTTTTCCTATTACAGAATCCTTGATACATAAAGTACCATTTAAATTCAACTTTAACACATAATTAAAAACATTTTGACAAAACTTTTTCCCATTTCCATAAAAATCATTAATCACTTAGAAAAAACTTTTGACAAATCAGTCTATATATACAATGAGTAAGCAGACTGACCATTTTCATGCCAAATCCCTTAAAAAGTACCTGACACACAGCAGACTGAACACATGAATAAAGAAAGACATCTCAAATACAAAGAACAAAAATAAATTTCAATATAGAAACTTAATTTTAAATAAAAAAATTTTTTGATGTTTATTCTTCGTTAATCTGGGCATTCTAAATTTTTGTGAAATGATTACTACTTTAACTTTTTTGGAGCATAATTTGCATGCAAGAAAATTCACTCATTTTAAGTATTTCAACAAGTTTTGACAAATTTATACAACCCAAGTAAATACCACTACAAATGAGATACAGAACTTCCATTACCCCAAAAAGTTCCCTTGAGACCCTCTTCAGACAATCCCTGCCGTCTCCCCAAATCCTAGCCCCTAACCACTAATCCGCTTCATTACCAAAGACTTGTCTTTTTCTAGAGTATCATATAAATGGAGTTATACTGTGTGTTGTCTGCTTTCTTTCTCTCAGAATACTGTTCTCAAGATTCACCCACTTTAAATCCATCAGTAGTATTTTTCCCTATAAATAGCTGAGTAGTATTCCATTGTATAGATATCCCAAAATTTGTATATTCATTTTTTTATCCTGATGGGCATTTGGACTGTTTCCAGTTTGGGGTTATGATTACAAAGGTGTTTTGAGCATTCATGTTAAAATATTTCTATGAACATGTTTTCACTTTTCTTGAGGAAAAACCTAGTAGAATTCCTGGATCATATAATAAAAGTATGTTTAATTTTACAAGAACTTATGAGACTGTTTCCTGAAGTGATTATATACTTGAAAGTTCCCACCAGCAACAGAAGTTCCAGTTGTTCTGATCCTCACCAGCAATAGGTATTGTGAATCTTTTTAATTTAGCCGATAAAATTGGTATATATCATTGTGGCTTAACTTACATTTCCTTGGTAACTGGTGTGGTCAAATGTCTTTAATATGCTTACTGACCATTTATATACTTACTGGTATTTTTTTTTTTTGATAATTATTTTTTATTGAAGGGTAGTTGACACACAGTATTACATTAGTTTCAGGTGTACAACACAGTGATTCAAGATTTATATACATGATAATTCTAGGTACCAACTATCACCATACCAAGTTGTTACAATATTTTGACCATACTCCTTATGCTATACATTACATCCCGGTTACTTATTTATTTTACAATTGGAAGTGTGTACTTTTTTTTTTTT